GAAGCAAAACGACGTTGACAGTTTCTGGGTAAAAATAGTTAAATGTATCTTAACTATCCATTATATAGTATCCAACGATTGTACAAAACATACTTTGGTGTAAGCCTGTTGGCAAGGAACACGTCTCATCTCGTGGAGGTTAGTTTGCCCGGCTGTCAGTATTTGTCCATGAGCCTGGCTTGGAGTGGCCGGGTTCGTCCAGTGCCCAGTAAGCAAATCCGCCTGCCACCTGTCTCTGACCGGCAATTAGGAGGGGAGCACCGGCCCCTCCTTTGTTGAGCGGTGCGCAGCAGGCGGCCCTGCCAACGCCGGCCGCCGCCGCCGCCGTCGCCTGCCCACGTGCGGTTATTAAAGGGCCGCGCGCGCGAGTGGCAGTCGGAGCCGCCCCCTCGAGCCGCTTCCGGAGTTTTCACGCCTCGTGGCGCGCGCGTTCGCCCCCACACCTTGCCGCCTACACGCCGCGCCCTCCGCAACGCTCGGTTCCGAGCGGCACCGAACCCCACCTTCCCTCTTCCCGCCTCTCCTCTCCCCGCTTCTCCTCTCCACTCCCCGCCTCTCCTCTCCACTCCCCGCCTCCTTTCTTCTGTCCTCTCCCCGCCGCTTCTCTTCTGTCCACTCCCCGCCGCTTCTCTTCTCTCCTCTCATCTCCCAGCCCCTCCCCGCTCCGCATTTCGCTCTACTCCGCTTCATACCCTGCCCCTCCCTGGTTGTGGACCCGGCTCCTTGCTGCCCCGCACCCTTCTTCTCTCACGGCACCACTCCATGCCGCTTCGATTGAGCGGAGGCGGTGGCGGCGGCCTCGGCCTCGCGGGGAAGGGGACACACCGGGGGCGGCGCTATCGATTGTGTGGGTCGCTGCCCTGCCTAGCATCGATCCGGGCCCGCGTTGTCTGCGTCCTCGGCGCTGCGCCGCTCTCGGCCTTTTCTCCGGATCCTTTTCCCTGTCCGCGACGTGTACGTCTCCTTTGTCACACGGTCTCTTCTTTTCTTTTTTGGTCTCCGCCCCGTCGTCCCTCTCCTTCCACTCCCCGAATCCGGCCTGCCTCTCAGCCCTGCTAATCCCCGTCCACGTGTCGCGCGGCGGGCGGCCTCCGCTCGTGGGATCTCCCGGAGGGGATGTCGCGCGGCGCCCAGAGGCGGCGGCTGTGCCGTGTGCGTCGCGAGATGGAACGCGACGGGCGGGGGGCGGGAGGTGGAATGGGAGGATCCTCTCCCCGTGGGCTGGGCCAACAATCGATTTTGCTCAGAGGGGCGCTGCCTTGGAACTGTTCATCCTTCTTGAAAGGGGATCTGGGAGAAAATATAATGGATAAAGGAAAGAGAATTGGGGTTTAAAAATCTTGGAAACATTCGTTGTATATTTGAATCGCTGTTTATGTGTTGGTTCATTTTCAGTAGTTGAATAGCGTGCGAACATTACATCCAGGATGTTTATAAGAAAACAAATCGCATTGGGGGTTCTTTTTCCCATCTTGCCATCACTTGTAGTAATTTATTTTAGCGGGACAATCCGTCGATACTTCCTTTCTTTTCTTGGAAACAAAGATCTCCTTGAAGATAAGTATAAGTAATGGTCTGGTGTTGTCTTAGCGAGAGGTTTTCAACAGAATCACATAATAATTGTGTCGATCTATAAATAAATATACAAAGTTGTCTTATAGCGAGGCAGTGTGGACACCTGTACTTGGAGAAGCGTAGGTGGTGAGTCCTTTGCGCCATCTTATATTGGAGGAAGAGAGCAAGGCTATACCTAGACGCCACGGCCCATAGGCCCGTATGTCGTGGTCCTTGTCTTACCCAAGCTCGCACAACTTGAAGAAGGGAACGGAATTAAGGGAAGGATTTAAAATGAAGTGTGATGCATGGTGGTACAGGAGTGCACAGCATCCCAGAATACAATGTCCATGCCTTACGCGGAAATCCAACCAACAGCCCGGAGAAACGCGATACTTTGTGTTTGGAAGCCCCACTATGCCTTGATGCTCAAGCAAACCTCCGTGCTCGAGGTGGTATGCGAAGACGCGTTCTCCTTAGCGACCTCGGCTACCCAATCAACAAAACCTGAATTTTAGCGCCAGTTTGAAATATCAGGATTGTGCACAATTACAGTCACCACGACACAATAGTTTTATTTATACGTTCACAGATTATGGACCATTATAACAAAGTTCATTGATGGATACTCCTGTATGACTTGCGTTGCCCTACGACACATTCTGTAATGACTTTCAATCTGATTTCCGGCTCCATATTGAGATTATTGCAGTACTTACATTATTTTCTGATCGTGTGTCAAATGCCGGAATATAATGAGGGTTAAGTTTTGTGCAAAATTGAAAATCCAGATCAATCTCTTTAATTAAAGAGTTAATTCTTCTTTACATTTTCTCATGAAAGTCGTTTCCTGTATCCCCTATAAGCCTACCGTACAACATTGCGCATTACTGCTAATCCAGATTGAGAGCATTTGACTGTCTACACATTTTCACTTATATATTTTGAATGCACCTGAAGTGTATCCTGGGTATTGACAGTCCATGTTTTTATATTTTTTAATTTGATGTTTTGTGAACACTCTTTTTTTTCTTGTATTTCTTTTTAACGTTAGTGGTCTGGATAAGAAAATCTACAGAGATAAGAAAAAGGAAAATAAATAATAGGGAAAATCAATGAGAATTGTGATATTATTGAATATATAGTTCTATAGTTATGTTCGGATGCATTTGTGTGTCCGGTTATGTGGTTGTGTGATCGAAATCACATGTTATGTAGTAAGTGAAGTAGTGTTTGTACCAAACTCCACCTTTGATGAGACGAGATACCGTCAAGAATTCAGTCATAACTGCAAATCTGTTCTAAAGAATCATCCTCAGAAGTGATTTGAACTTACAGCCGAATTGTAACACGATTGATGCACATCACTACAATCTGAGATCGATGGAAAAGTATTTCGACTATGAATTCACCTTTAGCATTAGAAAATCATTCGTACAATCGGCTCTCAGTTGAATATTTTCATAGAGTAAAAGAATAAAAGGTCAATGTACCAATTTTCTCATGCCCTCAATCCTTTCTGAACTGTGCACTCCAGGTATCCCTTTTGTGAACTCTGTAGTGTAGCCCATGGTCGCCTGGTTAAAAACCAGTTTTAGACTTTTTTGGAGCAGGCGTGGTCGATACCTTTCCTAGTAACGCGATCCAGACCTCGGTTTTCCACACAATCTCATGTTGTAGGAGGTTTAACGCGTTACTTAATCTAAATCAAATATTCCCTACTTTCTTAACTTGATGTTTGACATGTAGATCTTAGATGCGGTTCATCTAATATTTACAGATGTTCAATGACAACATTCTTTGAACCATGATGGGTGTTTCAGATTTCAGTATTGCCAGTTGATTGCTGTAATGTAGCAATTAAATATTACATATGTAGAATGTTAAGCATCGCCCGAGAAGTTCTAAAGCTGTGTTCGTAGTTAATAATAAATGAATTAAACAACCGTACAGAATAACATCCGCGCAATCTACCAAGAAGCATTTTTGAACTGTTCGAAACTATCATCAAGAGGCGCATTTTATTCTAAACGAGTGGTGCTACAATAGCACATTGTGTTGGATTATTTTTGACGTTTACCTATTAGAATACTCGCTGAAGCAGTAAAAAATGTTTCCAACTTGCAAAAAAACATTTCCTCGCGCTTGGGTTCCAACTACATCCTAACGCAATGCACAAAAGATGGAGAACCGCTACAAACCCGCTAAAATGCCAGACTAAAATATGTGCTCTTAGGGGACTGCAAAACCCTCTATCTGAAAATAGATGACAATAAAATGCCTTGGAAAAGTGAGAAAATAAAGTATGTCGAAGTATTGTTAGACAAGAAACTTGTTAGACTAGGTCGAATTCCTGGAAACCCCATGTTCGCGCAGTAATCAAACAATACTATGCCAAAATATGAAAAATGTACCTGTTCGTAAATCAACTTTAATCACTTCATACCAAATGCACCGGAAGAGATGACTCAGTGCATCAACTGATGTCACTGCAGAGCTTCTGATCGGCAGGTTCTAGGTTAGATTCCCAACAGTGGCAAGATTTTCGACGCTAGCTTGTCAGCTAGGTCGAATTCAGTCGCTGTCTGGAGGACAATTCTAGAGGCCGGCTGCTCTGATCGGTAGTTTTCCGTGGTTTCTCCGATCTACAACAGGCGAATACCGGAGCAGTACCCTAACAAACGGACCACGGGCCGCGCGCGATCTTTTCTTTCTCTTCCTTTGTCTTATTCTAACCTCTTACGCACACTTACACTAACGCGCACTGCACTATCACGCATGCCGGGAGATCGATCGGGAGCTTAGAGCTTGTCCCGGCTGGAGTGGTGGGAGATAACTCGTTGAGCGAAACCTCGCTAGCAGACGAGATCTAAAATGTACTACTCTTCATGTAAAATACGCCCCCCCCCCAAAAAATAAATGTCGGTTTCAAAGTTGAGGGGCCTTAACATAGCCCAGACGGATCTGGGAATATAAATTTGGGTGAAAAATTTAAATACAGTTTTGGGCGCCAGTGTTGAAGTTCACCTGAAAAACTCTTTTTAGGTATCAACCCCCCCATCCCTAAAAATAAAACTACGTGGATTCCGAGTACTCTAAATGAGAAGGTAATTTACTTTATACAAAAGCAAAACCTTTCTTTTTTCGATATTTTTTTTTCCTGTTTCTTCTTTATACAAAACCTGTTTTTTCTGTTAAAAATCGGTATTTTTCTGGTATTATTTCACAAAATCTTCTTGACTACGAGTAATACACAAAAAAGTAAAAGACGTTTAATTGTGCACCTGCGCTGCATCGCCGCCGCACCGTCCGTAGAATCGGAGTCCCTCCGCGGTCGCCTGGTCCGCGTCTTCGACCTTTGAGCCGCAGCAACGCGCCTGCAGCCTTGGAGAGAGCGCTGGCGGAAGGCGCGCCGTCTCGGCCTCTCCACTTCACGCCACGAAAATATGCGCGCCTCGACGATCACGGCCAGGATGCGCCTGCAGACGTGCCCCCTACGGGAAGGTACGTCTCGGCTCCCCAGTTGGCGGTCTCCTCGCGGTTGCCCGACGCCGCACGCCCCACGGCGCTCATGCGCTTTCTTCGGAGGAATAGCTTCGGTGCTCCAACACGGAGAGCGCTAGCTCCTGCTGGATTGATAGGCAGCGGAGGACAACTGTAGCTTTTCAGACGGCAACACTCCTCAGCATGTATGCGTTTATTCCAGCTGAATATCGCTGATTCCAATTTATTTTGTCAAAAACAGTAAAAAAAACTGTATATGACGTATGGGGGAGAAAATCTGCGCAAGTTTTCCGAGTTCCAGAATCCCTTGCAATCATTTTGAGTGTTTCAACTGATATTTTCTTTTCTTTTCGATTCCTTTCTTTTCTTCTAATCTTTTCTTCGATTTCTTTCGAAAATGTCGAACATAGTTAATCCGGAATATTAGGTTGTAAAAATGTATTTGTCGGCCTGCATGACGGAGATTGTCTGTACCGACTCAAAAGGTCAAAAGGTGCGGTTCCCATGCAGTCATAGCCATAGATGTTGTATGTCGCCTGGATTTCGTTTCAAGTCAAGTTGCAAAAATTTTCATTTAAATCCTTAATAACTTTCCATGCTACCCTTATAATTAAATTGATCTTCTAAGCTTTATGTCATGTGTTTCCCCAATTTGTATTCAAAATGCTCATAAAAATATCTGCATGAACACTCTCGGTCAACAAATACCAGAAAGCATTTCCACATCTTTATTTAACAATTTGTGGGCATTTTATTGCCAAGAAAATCAAATTTAGGTTCTTGGTAGTGTCTTTACAGTAAATGTAAGTTCTTATTCTGACACAGAATAACCACATTTGTTAGTTTTCTATTCCCTAACGCCATTCAACCCATTCCACATAATTAAAAACTTTTTTACATTTATTTCCTTTAATGCAATAATGTTTGGAAGTTTTGAAGTGAATAATACACACAGTCTAGAAACAATTTCTTCCATAATTCTTTTGTTCAGAACTTTTGATTCTGAATTTTAATTTAAATAGTATTTTCAAAATGAAATTGGCAAGGAAATTAAAAATTTTAAGTCCGTTTGATCCAGCAAATATCGAAAAAGGAAAATTCAGCTATAATTAGGCTTGATTTGTATAGAGATTTCGATGTGGCGTCACCAGGGAAAAAGTTAGTTTTTTTTTCAATATCTTTAAGTTTAATGTTGCTACGTTGTTTTAGGTTCATCAAATACGAATAGAATATTGAAATCATAGGCCGCACATTTTGTACTTCGTAATTCTGCGAAAAAAGAGCGGGGGCAAGCGAGCGCCAGCCCGATCGTAATACTCTGCAGGACCCAGTGTTTGACGCAGAAGTTTCAAGTGAAGCGTGGCCAGAAAATATGAGTGTGGTACATTTGTAGGTATTAAAGTTCTTTAACGTACCTCAACAACACAGCGAAAAGTTTAAATGTTTAAAATATGTTTACTACCATACTATATTGTATTATTGAAAATATTTTTGTTGCCTTATGTAATATGCATTATTGGTGTTATGCTGCAATGCCGTTGAGCTTGCCCCATGGGAAGTGAGATTTTAAACTTTCTTGGAATGTGATCATTATGATATTTGAGTGAGGTACCTCCCTCCACGGGCCGAAGAATAAAACATTGACGGCCAGCGGGGTCTCGCTGGCGCTGACTGTCCAGCACTACGCGGCGACGAGCCCTGCGGAGTGCGCATTCATTTGACTCTTGGATTGCCAGCTGGTAGCTGTCAAGTAGATTTTGACATTATATTCGTATTTGGCATTTGCCCAAGAGGCAACGCCGGTACTTGCAGTGCCCGCATACAAATTGAAATGAGAAATATTGCAATAGTAGCAACTGCAACTTAATTGGTCGATGCATTAACCGAGCAAAGGTCGCTGGATGTTGTTCCTCAAGACTTGTAAATATGTTTGCGGATGTGAAGCTAAATGAAAATGTGCTATTCGAGGAAATATTTTTGATAGATTCTGCAAATACGTTCATTCCTGCACAACGAGCTTATAGATGTTGATTTCATGTTGAGCAAAGTCTTGGTATTCATACCTCAAACGGACGAATGGTCCTTTCCAAGATGCTTTGTTATCATACATTCTGGGTAAGCACTTTCATAGCAATAAAAAGATTTATTACTTTTTGTCGTTTATTTCCATATCATGAAAGTGTATCGTTGTTCATATAAATAACGGAACATAATCATAGAACAGTCTCTATGTATATTCTTAAAATTTGATTCTATTGTACTTCGAATTCTAATAAGGAAGAGATTTTGTTCAACTTTTGAGACGACGCGCCAATTGACACCTATATTAATGCAGTTGCCTGAGAACAGAAATAGCTTAGAGACGCACTTCAAGAACATCTTTACCCAGTTTTCGGAATTGCAGTTTAGTTAACATTTATTAATGCTACATTGATATGAACATTGATTATATAGTGTGGATTTAAGTTTCATTTAATATAAGCTAAACTCGTGCTGTTTTCTACGGCAAATTACAAGCTCTTGCTACTTCGCGAAGAAATTAAAATAAATTTATCGTACCTGCAGGCAAATTTTAGTCATTCGCAAAACTAAAGTTGCAGACAATAGTCCATGAATTTTATCTTTTCATGTGCTTTTCTCAAAATTCATGATCAGTGTTTAGTTCATTTTATGTACTCAGTCTCTATATACTCGCTCGCATAGCATCCAACGCGGAGTACAAAAATGAGTGCAAACATAAACATCTGAAAAGATCCTGTTAAACGTTCATTCCTGAGGATGAAATCAAACTATATTAAAAATATTTTTAACTTCGTTAGATGATTACGAACGAAACTCTTTTGAAAGCGGCAGGAAAATGGTGCAAACATACCATTGGTGCTATACCATTTGCGGAATCTTCATCGGAATCCAAAGCATAAATTTTTATCATATGTATGTGTATAGGATTGTCTACAATATTACTTTTGTCGCTTAAAGTGGCATTTCTCTCAAATGTGTACTAAACTTAGATTACCGTTTCCATTATTTCGTGTACTACACTACCAATAAACAATTTAGCAAGTACACATGTATCCCATTTTTAGAAGTAAACTATATCACTCCTTTGGATTACCACGGTTATACTCTTTAGTTTATGTATGGAATTTTCCAGAAGGACTACTAATAATATTTATAATGGAAAGTCAGCCACACAGTGGTAAAATGACTATTCCAATCTTACAGCCTAAGTAAGAACTGACATGGTATGCGTGAACTGGATGCTATTATTCTCACTTTCTGGAGAACCGCACCTTGCGATACCTCACGTTCTTTCACGAGGCACGGCAAGACCAATGTAGAAATACACAAATGCACCATCGTCTTCACATCGATACTTCGCTAGAGAATAACGTTTTTAATTACCGAGGTCGCAGTTTTATGATGAAACGTTCCGGGCAATATAAAATTCAATTAGTAATAATAATTTAAAACCTTTATGTGAGAGATTCACGCTCAGCATCTATTGCGCCGGTGATGAAGCATACCAAATTACACGAGATGTGAAGAAGAGCTGGCAGACAATTGAATCTACGTCGCATATCACGCGTGCTTTCATACGTCATTCTTCTCTTCCCACAGGGAATCAAATATCTAGGTAACACTTGTTACAATTTTGTGACTTTTGTTTCATTCTCTGACACTGGAAATGGAACAATATGGGAATTATAAATGTTTATTGTGGATCATTGTTAAAATCCTTCCATAATTAATTCTTGATAACGGGATTACTGTATGGTTTTCATTTATACTAATGGTGCATTTTTACGAATGCAAATGGCTAAAACTGAAATACACTTAAAACGGGCATTGGAAATGTCCAGAGAGCGACGTTTTCACCTGCAAATTTTAGAGTTTTGTGTATTATATTATTATTTGATTAATTAATAAGTCATTGAATTTAATATTTTTTACCCTCAACATTAAAATGATAAAGGGAATTATGGTTTGGGAAAAGAGGAGAAGAACTACGAATTTTTTCACAACGGTTAAATGCGTTTTCAAAAAAGGTCATTCTAATTGTGTGTGTACATCCGTTAGAAATGTAACACGGGACAGATAAACACAGAAAGTACATAATCAGAATTTGTTTTTCTTTTCGCAATTCGAACTTTCAGCAATCTATCTCCGAACATCTGCACCGGTTTGTATTTTATATGTTTTGGGGCGGATGTAGTATCTGACAACACGATTCTGAAGATTCTGATCAGAAGAAAGTTTCCACGTTCTTTTTGTTACCTCTCCATTTCATTCTTCCCCTTCTTTCTGGTACTTCAGTTTCCTTTTCCTCCAATGTTCCTTACTGTTTCTCTTCATTCATTCTTCCTCCCTGTTTCCTTTTCATTCCATGTTCCTCCCCGTTTCCCCTTCATTCTTTGTTTCTTTGAGTTTCCTCCATTATTGTTTTCCTCTTCATTTCTTGTTCCTTCTTGTCTTTTTTTATTTATTGTTTCTCCGTGTCCCTCTTAGTTTCTTCCTGTTCCACTCTTTATTCGTGATTTCTCTGCGTTTGTCCTCATTGCTCGTTTCTCCCTTTTCCTCCGACTCTGATTCCCCGAAGGTTCCCTGGCGGCCGGCGCGCCCCAACGCAAGGCTATCCGCCCCTGCTCGTGGCACTGCATGGCAATGCGCCAATTGCAAATCGATAGTGGAAATTGCAAATCGATAGCGCCGCCGCCCCGCCGTGCAGCCCACGGCACCTTCGTTGCGGTGGGTCCCTCCTCGTGACACAAAGGGCGCGAGTGCACGCATGCGCACTAGCTCGCGCGCGAATACACTCATGACGCACATCTCGGGCGTGCACGGGCGTGGAGGTCGACGGCCGTGGACAGTGCCAGATTCGTCGGAGCTGGCCAAAGGCAAGATAATTATTCAATAGCTAGTGGCCTGCAGAAGTGAAAATGCTGCTGAAAGAAACCAAACAAAATGGTTTTCCACGTAAATTACTCGAGAACAATAAATAAAGTACTCCCGTATAACACTGCTATAAATTAAATATTTTCAAATGTCTTCACGAATTTCGCATTAACATTGTATATATAGTGTATGTGCAACAGTTCTTCCCGTACAAACAATGTCTAAAAAATGCCTGTTGTATAAGGCAACATACGCATAGCAAATGGTGAGAGGCCACTTCCGCGGCGCCACGCCGCGCTAATCGTGCAGCGCCATAGCAAATGGTGAGACGCCACGCCGCGGTAGTTTTGACGAAATTGTTCCCAAGCTCGCCCGCTTGGTGCATTGATAAGCGGAAAGGAATGGGACAGTAAACAAAGAATTAGATTTTTGTAGCGAACATTAAACGACATCAATAATTTAGAAACGTTTCTTCGAAAGTGTGCACCATATACATGGGGTATGTCCGTCTTCGTCTGTCTTCTAGGGAATAGAATTCTCTCTTGTCATGTGTGAAGTACGAATCCCAGCAGCAGAAAAATAACGTTTGCCTGATTATATTTAAAACTATTCCCTAGTTAATACATTATTTTTATTCCTAATTACAGAATATCTGCCGAGGCCAAAGTTACCTTGTTCCCACTTAAGAATTGTTCGTCTCTGGTAACAGGAAACTGCATTCTTTGCTTGCAGTAAATTATAGTTATAGTTCTTTCCACACGAACAGAAAGGGTTGTTAGCACTGATCTCGTCCGAAGCCTTTGTAGTTTTTTTCGACCGTCATTGCGATTCGTAGAACATGTTCTTCGATGATGTGAATGTCACACGTGTATTAGTGAAATTGAACAGGTACACATGGTAAAACTACTTCAACTTCTGAAAAAATGATTTTTTTTTTAAATTTAGTAAGACTTTACGTTTATGATTAATGGACAAAACATATTGCTTCAATACTATTTTCTTTCTAAATTCTGAAAATATTATTTAGATTGTTGAAATTTACACCGTCAGTGCCTTTCGGCAGATACCTCAGAATAAAGGTCATAAAGGATTAGGCCACTCAGTTCGTACTGCTGTCGAGCGGGTCACGTTTTGAGGCAAAGGTATTTCATGTCCCCTCCGAACATGCGTACAGTCGGGGACAAGTCATAAGTGGAAGTTGATTATATGAAACTTCCCACCATGTAATCATTGGCAAAAATTGATCATTTTTAAACCCTCTACGTGCCTTAGACGTTTGTTACATGTATTGTGAGAAACATCTACTTACAAGGCAAATGATGAATGAGAGAAATTGCGTGTGTTGCTCTCATGTAGTGCATGGGTGGTGTGAACGACTATCGCACGCTACTGCTACAAAATTTACTTCGGAATCTCAGAACCTCCTTTATATTGAGCTTTGCGTCATTCCTTACAGAATTTGGTGGGAAATTAAAAAAACTTCAATAATTAAATTTGTTCAAAGAATTGGTTACCCCTACCAGGATTCGAGCCCGGACCTTCCGGTTTACGCCCCACTGCTCTAACCACTAGGCTATCGAGAAAACCAATCCTTTGAACAGCACAAATATAAAATACTTTAATCAACGACGTTATTTTAGTAAAAAATCTGATAAACCTATCGAATAAAATATCCTACAGTTCACAGCCAACTGTCTCAAATATACATCGAAGGCCCCTTTAGGATTAGATGCCCAACCAGCTCTGATGTCTAGCGCTGGAATTGGCGGTGAGCGGCGTGCAACGTCACGTGGGCGATGAGTCACCGGGGACGCCTCCGCCCCTCGCTCTCCGCCCCCTCCCCAATCCGCCGCCGTCTGCGCCCCTCCCCCCGCACTGGCGCGGCTTCTGGGCCTTGCGGTGATTCCCCGCCCTTCGCTTGTCTGTGTCCGCGCCGCGCCGCGCCGCGCCGCGCCGCTCTCACCAAGCTGTGATAACTGCCAGTTGACACGAACAAAATTAGGGTTGCAAACGGGAGACCTGTCTCTGGAACATTTTTTTAATATCGTTGGAAATTTACACCCCTTAGGGTTCGATCCAAAAGCTCTGACGTCATAGGCTTATCCTTAATATGTTTAGGTCTGAATTTTCGGAAACATAAACAGATAAAAGTTTCGGTAAAGTGTAAGTACAAAGTCCAATAGTGTTTATTGAGAAGTAACTTCAAAAATTGTTTTGTAATTTGGCACCGATACGTAGATTAATAAAAAACATGCTCGTATTAATACTCGAGCAGAATTATTGAATTTTTACACTTGAAGTCAATTTGATTCTGCAAGCTGTCAACGAACTGGAGAGTCCTGGACACCCCCCATCCTTATAATTTTGCCAGCATTCTGCTATCTTCATTACACCGTACTAATACTGTGCGTGCAGTAACATTTGGGCAGAAAAGTGAACAAAATATCTTGGGACGTGATTCTTCAGCGCTTTTTGCTTTTTTTAATGATACATTATTGCTTGTTGTTGCCTTCGATACGGAGCCCGATATATATCGCACAACGTACCTGGTTTGAAAGGATCGTGCTTACATGGCAAATACGAAAACGGTTGAATGATGCTACACGTTCTCTTTTGGAAGGGATTATGAAAGAGAAATTATGGGAGGGAAATATGAAAATACAGAGCCAAGTCAACATCTAATTCATTAGTAAATAAGTAAATTTAAATCATTAAAATTATGTTAAAAACAATATTGTATGCACCACGAGCATTAACGGGTTCTGATGATCGAGCGGCGACAAGAAGCCCGAGGGCCTTTGGCCCGAGATCATTAGAACCCCTATAGCGCCCTAGGTGCATACATAAATCTTGTTTAACCCTGTAAGAGTGTGTGTAAGTGGGCTGACGGAGCGCTCGGTCTGTTGCAGAAGTCGGTGGTGCGCTCGGGCATCCCGGTGCTGTGCGGGCGCGCGCAGGGTCGCCGCCGCCTGCCCTCCGGGAGGAGCGCTGCCGCTCGCGGCGCGGCCGCCGCTTGGACGCCACCGTCGTCCTCACGCCCTCGCCCGGAGACCCGCAGGCGCACCCTCACCAGGCGCCTGCGAGCGACGCGGCGCCCTCACGTCCTCGCCCTCGCCCTCGTCTCCGCGTCGTCCGTGGCGTCGCGCGCGCCGCGCAGCGTCGGACACTACACCTCGGCTCCCCGCCACCCCCGACCGCCCCGGCCTCGCCCACGCCCACGCGGGACACACTCCCGAGCGGCCCGCCGCCGACCAGGCGAAGCGCACAACTCCCAGCTGCCCCCGACCAGACGACGACGCTCGACCGCCAGGACCACCTCGACCGCACCGTTCGGCTGGAAGGCCACACAACCACCCTCGACCGCACGTTCGGCTGGAGGCCACCACCACCTCGACCGACGTTTCGGCTGGAGGCACACACACCACCCTCACGCACGTTCGGCTGGGACACCACCACCTCGACTCTCCGTTCAACAGGATCGAACCATCCGGCTCGACCAGACGATCGCCCTCGATACCGAGCGCCTCGGCGCGAATCCCCCTGGCCATACCTCCCGAGTAGGCGGGCGCACGCCGCGCAGAGGCCGCGCGACTTGGGGCCCTTCTCGAGGCGGGCGGCGCAACCCCCGGCCCCGCGCACGCGGCGCCTGCTCCAAGACGCGCCGTGCCCCCGCCGCAGCGCAGCGGCCGCGACTCCCGCCGCCGGCGGACGTCCTCGCGCCGCACGCCCAGGCCGCAAGCCCCCGCCCGAGCCGCAGCGCAGCTCCCCCCGCACAGCAACCGTGCCAACCCCTGCCGCCGCTGCACCCGCCGGACGCCTATCGGCTGAGCAACGCGTTCGATTTCACGAGTAGGCGGAATGTGGCGCTTGTAGACGAGCAAGCGGCACGGTTCCTCGCCCGGTCACGGCCACGCCCACGCCGACGGCCTCGGTCACGGTCCACGGCCACGGCCTTGGCACGCGCGCGCCGCGCCGGGGTGCTCGCCCACGCACCGACACGCACACCGCCAAAACGTCGAGAGATCGATCGCCAGGAATTGCGCTGATTCAACGCGTCCACCAGGCACCTACGCTCCGACCGGTGTGGAACAAACTGTGTCGCCCCACTTTTCTCGCCCAGCGTGGACAACACGCCCGGCTGCAAAAGGTCCCACTCAATAACCGCGAATCCAAACGACCGGGAGGAGGTGTCAAACGCAAGATGCCCTGCACGTGAATGGGAGATTCGCGCGGACCCTCGGACGACATCACCTAATGACGGTGTCGCTGTGTTTTATCACGCAACGCAGCTCGCGACGTGCACGTCGGTCTGCTGAACCGTCGTCGCATTCGTTCTGTCCTGTAATAGAAATTCTTCGGCTGCATCACTCTCTGAACAAAGAGACAGTCTGCCTTTGAAATCTCCTGTCTCGACGCTGGGCACAGTTGGTGAACACGGAGGAGAATCGACGGCCGTGGACGTCGTGTCCGCCAGCTTCTTGTCAGTGTCGTCTATGGAAGGAGACTGGAGAGCCGTCATCGACATCAAGCTTTACCGACTGCGCGTACTCGAGCTCACCCTCCGGCGCCGGACACGAACGAAACCACTTGCGGACGAATCTGCTTGCCTGCCAGGGCGGCGCTCTCGATTCGCACGTCATCTGCCGAACTTCCCCGAAATTCGACCTCTCATCGTGCCCGGCGACGGAGCGCCGGTCGGCGCAAAATCGCTGTCCGCCGCTGGGCAGCGGGTGACACCCGGAGAGGTCGCGAACGCTGCTGGACGAAATCGCTGCCCCACTTCGTGTCGTGGCATGGACGGACGAGACGGCGGAGGAGCCAGCGCGTCGGCGCCGGAGGGCGGCGCGGCCGCGCAGGCTCAGCCGGGCGGCGGACGAGGCGGCACCGGGCCGCGAGCACCTCGGGCGGCGCGTGGCGATCGGCGGGCGCCGACGCGGGCGTGCCTGCGGTATGTGGGCCCGTGCACTTCGACGATGGCTCTGGTGCGGCGTGGAGCTGGACACGTGCGACGGCGCCACGACGGCGAGGTGAACGGGGCGCGCTACTTCGCGTGCCGCCGCGCCGCGGGCTGCTGGCGCCCATCGCCAAGGTGCGCCTGGTGGGCGGGCTCGCGCTGCTCGCCGCGCTGGCCGCCGCCCCGCGCCCCCCCAGCCGCAGCCCCCCTCGGAGGGGGAGACGTCGCCCACGGCGTCCCCGCCAAGCGCCCGCGCCGCATGACGTTCGCCCTCCCTCAGGGCTCCAGCAACTTCAGCCTGCTGCCGCAGGTGGACGACCCCGCCGCGGGGACAGGCGTCGTTGTGGACGAACCGACCGAGGAAGCGGTGGACGCCGCCACGCCACGATGGACGTATCGCCGTGCGCCGCCGTGACAGCCACGCCCACGCCGCCAAGTCCTTCCGCGCCGGCCTTCCGGCCGCCGCGCCGCGTCGGCCTCGGTGCCGCGTGCCTGTCCCCGCCACGCAGCGCCCGCGCGACACGCAACTGTGCGCGAGCAGCGCTCCCTCGAAATGGACGAGAGTCTGGGCATCCTCACGCCGACCAGATGGCCGACCTCACCGACTACTCGACTCGTTCGTCATCTCGGATTTCATCGGAAATCCGTGACGAGCACCAACCCCGAGGACGGCACGTCGTCGAGCGGGTCGGCCGCGCCGTCGCCGGCGGTGTCCCCCGCGGTGTCCCCCGCCCGCGCTGGCCCGCCGCCCCTTCCCAAGGCCACGCGTCGACGCCTCTGTCGCTGGCGGTGCGCTGGATCCAGCTGCAGAAGATGATGGACACCGCCTGCTGGACCAGGAGTCGTTCCGGAGTTCGAGTCGCTGCCGTGGCGGGACGACTCGCTGGCGGAAGGAGCAGGGGGGACGGTCTGCGCCGAGCGGCGCGAGCGCGCGGGCGGCGCGGGAGGCGTGGCGGGCGCTGCGCGCCGGGGGCGGTGATGGTGGTGACGGCCGGCGCGGGGGCGGGCGCGGGGCGGGGCCCGGACTGCCCCGCAGCCCTCCGACGGCGAGGTTCTCCTGCGCCAGCCGCGCGCCGACGCCTCCGAGCGCACGCTCTCGCCCGAGGAGCTGCCATGGACCCTCCGCTGCCCGGGCGGGGCTCTCGCCCGCGCCTGGAGGTGCCATGGACGCTGCGGAGACCATCGACACCATCGACCCGATCGCCGCCATGGCTCCATGGACGCGATGGACGCGATCGGTGATCTGCGACACGACGCGCACGTCGTCCGCGCGACGAACGACCTCGAGGACGAACACGCCCTGAACATGATCACGATCACGATCACGACACGACCACGATCACGACAACGATCACGATCATGATCGCGACCACGAGCAAGCTGGGGAGGAGACTCGGAAGGCAGCCATGATGCCACTGCGGGGGAGGTAAGATAATTTCAATACTTCGAAAAATCAATTTATCGAACATTGTTTACCTTAAAATTGGTAGTTGGGTTCGTATTTTCATATCAATCTGTCTTAGTCAATGCTTTGTTAATTTTGCCTTTCATTTGCAATTGTCGAACATAAATGTGTGCTTGAATGCAAGAGGGATGTGTCTCAATGAGAAGAAAAAAATTAATTTTCTTTAAATTTTATAAAACTACTAAATTAGTACCAACTAAAAAACTGGCACGTCAAATAGTTGTCGAAGTACAAACGCGCACACATGCGGTGTTTTCTCTGATGATTTGGCAGGACACTGGCTTATAGGGACCAATCACGTAAGCCATCCTGAAGGCCGTACCATTCATGTGTCGTATTCTTCGCGTCAGTAAAGAGACTCTATTCATCCTCGAAAGACACTTTTTGACATGTATTGTTGCCATCCGACAAAGGGAGGCAAGGGACTGTGCGCGTGATGGAATGCCATACGACATTCTCATTTTAATTTACTTCAAGTTAGCACACTAATACATTCAACACATTCACTAAAGCACTTGTGTCATGTATTGGGAACTACTTCGTAAAGCACCAAAGATTTTCGTCAGAAAAGAATTCATGATACGAAATTTCAGTGTTAGGGAAATGGTTGATTCTACGAAGCCAACATGCCAGTAATCGGAGTGATTACAAAATTAAATTGGTGTTAAAATTTAGTAGGTTCTACGCAATCCGCAATTCGGTGAATCTCAGAGATCGTATCATGCCCCGTAACGAGTCTGTGATATCGATTCCTGATTTGAGAGCCAAATTAAAATTAAATTGACGTGAGATTAAAATTTTGCAATTTTCGTCTTCCTTTCGGATTGTTAGGATATTTTGAGCAAGTCCTTGCTAGCTTTCTCGGGTAAATTATTTAAATATTTAGATAAAACAAGCATGAATGAAGTACTAGAGAAAAACAATTTTGACAAATTTGACAACCGTTCAATAACAAAATTTAACTTTTATCTCTATTTTAAATTCAATACTGCTATTTCGTTTTCGAAAATTCTCAATACACTTGATTTATTATCTCTGTCGAGAAGGCAATGTAACCGTACTTTGATCAGTATTTCTTGAATGCATTCTTCTTCACAAAGCACATTTGACAAGTCTTTACGTTGATAATATTGATTTTTATTTTGATTTGTGACTAGAAATCTAATCATTGTTTCAAGGTTCTCTAAATCGACAAAATTATTTCTTTTAGTTACTATAGTTTATTTTAGGAGTTCTTTAAAATTTCAAAACTGCATTTTTTTAGATTGAAGTTACATTCCAGAGTGGATTATGAAATACCATGACGGTGCCAAAAGACAAACAAAAAAAATAATAGTTAAAATAAACTTTTGAGAACATAACTAAAGCCCAAAAGCGCGTAACATCCCAGAAATACGATGTAGAACCAGTGTTTGGAACCAAGAGAGCGAGCGCAGTGTGTGTTTGCAGGGTCGCCGTTGGCGGCCCGTCCCGCGCTCGCGGCGTGCGCAGCTGCCGCCGCCCCGCCGCCCCAGCAGCTTCGTGACGAGCGTGACGAGGTGTACGAGCATCACGAGCCTGGACACGGGCTACCAGGGCGACGGCGAGTGGAGCCGGCCGGCCAGCCGTGGCGCCGCACCATCGCCACGGGCCCCGCGCCGCCGCCGCGGGCGCCGGCCGCCGCGCGCCGCCCGACCCATGACCGACTCAGACTTCTTCACGGAGAGCGACGCCGACCCGCACGACGAGCCGCGCCCGCGGCGCTGCCGGCCGCAGCTGCCCGCCGGGATCGGCGCGTGGCGCAGGTCGGACCCTTCCCCTGCAGCCACGCCCCCTTCTGCGGGCACGCGCTCGTTTGACATGCGGTGCAGCGATTGCGGCAAGATACTTGCGTTTGGGAGAGTAGGCTTCCGCGGCTGGGATTTCGGTCGCCACTCTACGACCTTCCTCATTTCGCCCTGAGGAAGGTCGCAGAATGGCGACCGAAACGTTGGCACCTGTGCCTAGGACGCGGCATCTCCCGGACAGCCAAGCAGCTAGATACTTGTTTGAGCTACTGGTCCGGCTGAGATGGCCTAGAGCAACAACTGTTGCCGCTGTCCTGTTTTTGCCCGGGCGGTCCTAGGTTCCCAGTCCAGAGAGTGGCGGATTTTCGTCATGTTACGTGGCTTGGCCGAATTCAGCCTCTGTCTGGAGGAGAGTTCTAGCGGCCGGCTGCTCTGATCGGTAGTTTTCCGTGGGTTCTCCGAACCCCAGGCGAATGCCGGAGCTGTACCCTAACAAACTGATCACGACAACCCACGATATTTCCTCCCTCTTCCTTGTTCTATTCTCACCTCTTACACACACACACACACACACACACACACACACACACACACACACACACACACACACAACCTACTACACTACTACATATCTGATTTAGAGCTTGTCTCAGCTAGGGCGACCCGCTGGTGTAAGATACCTGGTGAGAGAGAACCCCGATAGCCGGCGTGTAGGACGGCGGCGGATTTCACCACTCATCTAGGGAACGTTGCCGCCACCTCGAGATAAAAAGATGCACTACACTTACGGAACTAATATTAGCAGTTGAAGTGACTGAAATCATTAATCAATCGGGGCAGTACCTTAAAAACAGACCATGGATCCAGCGCGCTTCCCTTCTTGAAACTTGTCTTCTCTCTCTTTACACATACAAACATAAATGAACTGCACCACCACACATGTCGGGAGATGCCATATAAGTCTCCTTGCTGGGACGATGCCTCGTTGGAGATATCTGAAGGAGGAAGCCTCCCATGCCATCGTGTGCAAGGGTGCAGAATCTCATGTTCTAGCGGAGGAGACATATTGCTACTTCCCGTTATAACACACACTACACTTCGGGAACTAATGACCATAGTAGTGAATACGCCCGGGAATACAATATAATCATCATAATCGACTCTCTTGCTATAGCTATATGCCTTTTTCAATCAGTATTTTATTTACTGCAGTAAAAATGTATTGTTTTACGTACCGGCACGTTGACACGAAACAAATTGCGATGTACGTTATGGTGTTGGACATACATTGCATTACATTTGTTACATAAATATTGAAACGTTTAGATGTTAAGTATGTAGTTATACACGCATATGTAGATATGTACCGTGAAACATATTGAAAATTCGATTTAGAATCTGTATTATGGTTAATGTGGAAGTAAACGTATCATCTCTTGGAGGACGTTAGACACTCTAATAAGGTTATTGAAATGTTTATGAATCAGAAATACAAAGAATTTTTGTAATGCCTATCTAGTTTCTTTCAACAACAGTGCGGGCAGTGCTACAACAAGGAGAAATGCTAGGTTTTAAAAGAATGTGAACCTTAAGAAGCATTTGTATTTGAGATGGACTGCCACTCAGAAAAGCGTTGTGGACATGGGGTAGTGCAGAAAAAAATAATATCTAGGTTTAGGCAACACCTAAACTTATTTCCAGGACTGCCCACACTGTGGCCTTGACATCAACACTACATGAATGAAGCTGTAGAAATTATATTACCTCACCGATGGAGTGTGGAAGAGCGTGTCACTACTAGTATTATTGGGGACAGAGGGGGGGGGGGAGAAATCGAAAATTAACGCTCTCCTAAAAGTTGTCCCATTTTCAACATTCTGTTCAGTTAAATACATACGATAAATGAAACGGAAGGTTACATAACATGTCAAATTTGAACAAGAGAAGAAAATAAATAATATTCATTAAAAGTATTAACTAACGTTGACTTCGTCTTCAAGATTACATGGGAATTCAATTTCGTGATTCTGGTCGGAGCAGCTTCGTTATAATTAAAACCAAATGAAATATTTATAAATCGTGTTATTCAAATAGTACTAATATACAGGCGGTGAACAGTGTATTGGAAAGTACTATAGAAACGTAACACACGATAGAGCCATTTCGTGCCCTTATCGAAAGTGATAAATTCCGTGGACATGATAAGTTTTTCATATTGGTAATTACTTGCGTCTTTTTGTTTGTTTTGGCTGCAAGTTTCTAAAGGAAAGTATCCAGTGAAATATAAAGGGAATACTGTTATTATAGTTGTGACTCATAATGCCTTTTTTCACAAACAAATGAAAATCACTACAAATATTGCAGTAAGAGTTCCACCTATGTCCTGAAAACATCGTAAGTTGTTGCTATAATATATTATTAGATGAGATTCGATATATGTAAGCAGATTTGTAAATTATCTACAGAGATAATTCTTAAAACATCAGGAATATACGCAGAAAATATCGCATCATTTCTTCAGACCGTTGATTGCGCCGTTTAAAAAAAAAAACAAATATTGGAACGTTAGCTTCTCCATTGTGGGACTGTTTAAACGTATCGTAACCTAAAAAAACAATAACTCCCCCACATGTGACATACGGTTTGTACTGTTTTGGCGAAAATAAATAAAATCAAATCGAATTAAATCAATCCACTGAAATTGATTTGTCAGAGTTGAGAACTAGAAAAAGTCCAAGAACGTAGCATGTGCACTGCTCAAGAACAATCAGTTTTTCAAGTTGTGTAATATTTTCAAAAGCATTGCTTCTCCATATCGCAACACATGAACTGCAACTCTTTAATGACGGACTACCTTTTCCTTGGAGCCTCGCTGTTGCACGACATCTGTGTTGTAAGCAGTGACACTGTATGAAAAAACAGTCGTTACGGGAATCCTGACAAAAGTAGAAATAACACAATAAAACACATTTTTCAGTCAAAATAGAAACTGTTTAATTGGTTTTGAATTTTTCCAAGTCCCTGAGTCTCTAATGTAACTATATCTCACATTGTCTGAGTTTGTATAGTTTTTTTTCTTATTTTTTTTTCAATTTCTGCGCGCATTGGAAATACACTGTATATACTGTACATACACTGTAGATAGTCATTTATACAATACAGTATACTATTTCATAAAAAGTTTCACAATTTTTGGCAAATTGGCATTAGAAAAATTAATTGTCAATAATAGCTTCATTAATGATCAAAGAAAAACATTCCAAAATCAAACATAAGTTTGCCAGTAAAATGGTTCCCAGCCTTGAAGAATAACTAAACAGCAATAGCTTCCAGGAGGAAGGAAGGTTTAGAAAGTTGCACAGTAAAAATCTGAAAATTCCTTGCAATCAGTGGCAGGGCTTGATGACTCACACGATAAGGTTTACTGGACACTCCGGACGTACGAGGATACTTATCGTCGCGAACGTTATCGAGAGATTCCTCTCATGTGTATTTACGAGTAGCTGCGATTAAAATGGCGACAAAATTAATCGGGAGTGATAAGGTTTCACGCCGTGTCTGTTGTCATCCTGTCAGTCGTGTACGGGACGCCTACTAGAATGAGGCGTATGCAAGAGCAAACTGTTACTCGAAAACGGCCCACGCGGAGGGACAAACGAGAACGCACACGTAATATTTCACGGGTGAGTAACATGTTATGTAATCAGGTGCTGTGTTGCTACACGAAAGCGTCGTCGAATTTTAAGTTTTATTTCTTTTCCTAAGAGCTCCTTTGGGGAATAGTTCATTCATGCGATTCGTCGGGCATGCAACATCACTGGTTATACAAAAGGAATGTAATCTTAAGAATGGGTTCTTTCGATGTCATGACTTTCTTAAATCTTGATAAAATATCGTGATACCTGTAAATAAACGAAAAAGCACATGAGATAACTTCAGAAGTTTGTATTGTCACAGCTTGTGTTTAAAAAGTGATTTAGTAAATTTATTTTCTTCAAAAATTGCATATGTCATATTTTCTAAATATTGATTAATTGCTGTTAAAACTTCGTTAATTAAGAGAGAGCGCATGGGTCTTTATTTTTCCATGAATTCTGTCTTGGGGCTCCAAACTTTGCGCCATATTCTGATAATGTTGTCCTTGCCCGGCATGTGGGTTGACGAACTGACGAGTGCTCTCAAACTTTTCACAGACCCTTCTGGCAGTGCCAGACACTATAGATGGCTGCTGCAGAGGGACAGAAAATCACTTTATTTTTATTTTTTGCATTTTCTTCGAAATTTTCTTTTTTTTAAGAAACTCGTGTAGGATATATGTTTGCATCCTTGCATCGTTTCACATCAAGTATCAGGCTAAGATGTATCAGGTAACATTCAGTATTTCTGAATATACTGTACTATTTTAATAAACAAAATATTACATACACACAAGAATCAGTTACACTTCTATTCTACCAAATCTTACTTAGGCACTGACACATCCCTACTCTCTCTCCTTTCCCCATCTACCGGCCAGAATCTAATTTGTGAATATATAATTAATTTCTTTATACCTTGTTTGCAGAAATAGCTGTATTTGATTTGTTTACAAATATAAAAATTAGGTTAGTTTATTGGTAATAAATATTTTTGAGCAGTTGGGTGCATGTGTTAGTATGCATAAGTGTTGTGAAATATGTTGAAATAAGTGTAAAGTACATAAATGTGCGTTATATGTCGTGTCTGTATCCTCCAACGCGAGGTGCTGAGTGTGCGGGCGCGGTTGCGCAGGTGATCGACGGCACGCTGTACGGCGCTGGCGGCAGCGGCATGCCCCCGCAGCCGCACCAGCGCTGCCCCAGCTTCACGGCGTCCGTCAGCGAGGAGATGGAGTCGAGCGGCGTCTACTCGGACCTGGATCGGCGCGGGGATGACGCGCCGCAGGAGGAGGGCGCGGACGGCGAGCCGCCCTCGCCCACCGCCCTCGCCTCGCCCACGGCGCCCGCCCTCACCCTCGCCCTCGCCCCCTCGGCGGACGCGCCCGCCGACCTCTCCCCCGACGGCTCCCTCAAGACGCTGTCGTCGCGCAGCCCGGCCTGCGACGTCCCCGGCCTCACCGTCCTCACCGACCTCAACGCCACCCTGACGGCCTTCAACCCCGCGCTCACCTCCACGCCGGGAGGAGGCGGCGATGGCGGGGACCGCGTGCCCTTCTCCCGCCACCGCCACCCCGGCAAGGGACACGCCCCCACGCTGCAGGCCACGCCGGTGTCCACCCCCGCGCCGTCGACGCCCCGCCGCCTCCACCCCACGCCCCGCAAGCCCGCCCCGAAGACCGAGCTGCCGCCGCGCGCAAGTTACAAGATGCGAAGCGCAACGTCACCTCCAAGATCAAAGACGATGCTGAGTCGTCGGCGCCGCGCGGCGCGCCGCCGGCCGACAGACGACCGGGAGGCGCGGCCGCCCTCGCTCGGCGCGCCGCCCCGGCCGTGGGACGCCGTGCTCGAGAAGATCGCCGTGGGCCAGGCCGAGCAGAAGCTCAAGCCGCGCCTCAAGGAGGTGAAGAGCAAGGTGTTCGCGGGCATCGCCACGCCGCCGGCCGCCGCCGACGCCAAGGCCAGCGCGACCCCGCCGCGCCGCCCCGACGCGCGCAAGGGCGTGCAGAGCCCCGGCCCCAAGAGGTGAGCGCGCCTCCGCCCTGCCCGTGTGTCGAAATGCATGCTTGTTACTACTAATGAGAGCTTCCTCACTTCAGAAGTGAACAATGTTTGCAAGGGAAGGGTTCAAAACTACACAGTGAATCATTACAACAATACTAAACAACTTCAGTAAAATTCTCGAGAAGTTGAAATTAAACACTGAAGCTACTGTTTCAGTAATGCATAACATCTTCATTAAGATTCTCTCTGTCAGGGCCCGGCTGAAACGGGGCTCCCTAATATAGAATTAGATACATTAATAAAAATCAATGACATAAGAAATATTGCGTATCAGTTAGTGAAACTTACCTCGCCTCAATATTATTCATGTCTTCCGCGCTTATGGGGCCGTGGTCCAATTGGTTTTCAATTGCCAAGTTTGAACTTTGAACTGGCAGTTCAAAGCCAATTGGACCACGGCCCATCAGCCCTGAAGTCATGAATAACATTGACTCCGGCCGTGAAAGCTTTCAATGCTTTATACCTCGCCTCATGTTGCTTCTGATCAGCTGACCGTTGCCTAATTTCTGTAAATAAAAATAATAAATTAATATATCACAATAAAAATTTTATCATTTTATGTAAATTCGATGGATAGATAAATTTATATGCATTTGCTCGTGCTCTAAGTTAAAAGATCCCGTTTAACCTAGTTCAGGCTTGAACTATCGCCCGTTGAGGACGTGTTATTCGTTTCGGAACCCTAAGCAGTACTTCTATAATAGTGAGTAAGTTTTACGTGTAGACCTCAAATCATTAGATTACTGCAAGAAGACAAATATAACAATACTGATATTACGCACATATTACCTATCAAAGAGTAAACGTTAAATTGCCAAGAGGAGGGATCTTCGTATATCACATCAGGGATACGATCTTCCAAATTAAATAAGAGTATTCTTTTTATTTTTACGTATACATTTTACTCATCACTAGTATTCTAGGAATATGAACAAATGACAATGTAAATTTAAATGAATACAATTTAGAATAACAAACTTTAAACACAATCGCAGACATACCATTCACAATGACCATGTACACTAACGTTAAAGTCCAGTAAAGTAATTATCGATGTAATAACGTATTGATACAATAAATAAGGTCCAGAAATTCTGAAGGCAATGGAATGACGGTAAGTAAATATAGATGCAAACATGCTAGGACAACGATTATGATTTAAACCTTTAGAGCAATGATTTTTTTAAGTATTTCACAATTATTATGCAATGATTTGTCGTGAAAATGGAAATTTATGCTCTTTCAAAATGCATTGGCTTCTAATCAAAACGTTGTACTTTGAATATTGCTATAGTGAAAGATAGTGTGTTGTAATTACACAAGATAATGTAAACGTGAAAATTTAGTAGTTAACGAACTTTCACTCTTACTTCTTATGTTTACATTCATAATTCTGAATTGTTTAATCAGATAAAATGTTCATTGTTACCATAATTTGAGACTTTACAAAGTTCCTAAGCAGCTTGCTACTTCTCTGGATTCGGGTCTCGCTTCTGTACCAAGAAATACCTAGGATACGAGAGGTGCTCAGTAATGATGTCGTTTGCAGTTGGTATGCAAGCGACGCAGTAAAATCTAAATTGCTGGGATGTTTCATTAGGTCTCAGGGTTCAGCACTCATAGCCCGAATTACTACTGGGAAAACCGAGACCCTCCGTTCCTGGAGTATGTCCAGTTCTTCTGGGGATCATGATATTTCGTACCTTCTTAGATCTGCTTTCGAATTAGGTGGGATGGCCACGACCACTATCTATACCGTGCTTCCCTTCAATGACGGAGAGATATGTCAGGTTATGAACCAACCTGAGGTCTGTCTCAATTTTGAAACCCTAGAGTATTTTTGTTTTTACACAGTGCATTGAAATAATGTTTAAGGTGACAGTCCTCTTGTCCATTTTTGTAATGAATAAATGTGTATTGCTTGCCGATATTTTTTCACGGCGTTCTTAGGTTAATTCGAATCGTATATTTGCCATCTAATCGAAACGGGTGGGTAAGGCAAAGCCTACGAATGAAAGAGAGTGGATAAGAAATGAAGAATACACAAGGAGCTCCAACAACCTAAGATGCAGATAATTTTGATTTCACACACGTATTCCGTTCTTTGCTCATTGTAATAATAATAATAATAATAATAATAATAATAATAATAATAATAATAATAATAATAATAATACCACCACTGAATGAAGGAGCTCAGTGCGTAGCGTGCTGGATTCGTAATTGGGATCTCCGGGTTCGATCTCCGTGCCCTGTCCTGACCGGGATTTTTCGTGGTTTTCCTTGGTCATAAGGCGAATGTTGGGATGGTTCCAACTGGTTCCCACGAACACATCCCACCATCATCCTAGTCTTTTCATGCCTCATCATCACCCCATTACTTCAATAATAGTAATAATAATAAATAATAGTAATTATTATTATTATTATTATTATTATTATTATTATTATAGTGTGCCTCTGTATGTTTGTATGCGTCTCTATTTCATAATTTCATCATATCACCCCATCCCCCAGGGCATTCAATCTTGGGGTGTATAAATGGAATCAGTATTAAAATGCTGATTTCCCCCCCCCCAATAGAAAAGTAATGTGCACCTATCCTGATAATCATGACTTAGCCCCGGTGGGATGCACGTATCGCGTGGCCCCATGATGGCCGATTCGCGAAACAAAAAATAATACATTATTAATCACAGTCATCACCCATTTGTCGACATACTTCGCAGGGAAAGGAAAAGTACCTAAGGTTTGCATTCGTGGTTGAAAAACGGAGGGAAATCTGAAACATTGAATTGCTACACCCCGTGTGCAAATTCGCCGTTATGATTAAGTAATAAAGTAACGCCAATTGCAGGGCTTGACTTTCGATCAGAAGAAATTTTATTGATAGTTGCGTAGTGGCAATGAAGACCATTACGGGCAATATTCGAGTAGCTCATTCATGCTCTAAAATTAGTCTAGTATCTGATCTAAAGGAAAGTGATGGATTCGAATCTTGTTCCTATGGATTACAAAACGTTCTATTACCCTTAGTTTCGTACCAGGCGATATTTCATTTGCCCTAAAGTGGTCAATAGCGTCCATTCGCTTTGGGGCTTAGCGTTACCCAACACCCTGCGGGAGGAACTAATGGTTTGTCAGGCTGGCATCCGGATTTGCTGGAACTTTTGAGATCTCAAGCAAAGCAACGTAATGAGGAAGAATATTCCCTATGAGAGGAAAGGAAAGCTTGTCGCATAATCGATGAGATGCCTCCATTTGGAATTTCCCTCGCTGAATATCATAATAATATATAATAATAATAATAATAATAATAATAATAATAATAATAATAATAATTAATAATAATAATAATAATAAAAAATAATAATAATAATAATAATAATAATATAATGTTCCGTGCCGTATTATAAATATGTGCCTCAGAATGTGCTTGAAAGTAGTGAGCACACACCTCTACTGGGATCGTTCCATATCACTGACAGACATGTCCGCGGCAATAGACCCTATTAACGTACATTGATAGAAACCAACAGCAGTTTTCCTTATCCATATATCAATACCGAAATACCCCACAACATATCGGGAAAATATCAAGAAAAGATTCCAAAAGTTATACCGATCTCGCCTATGAAGTCGCACTCAGTGGAACTTCAGTAAAGTGTGACAACTGTGCCTATAATAATATCAGCTACGGAGATGATCCGAAAATGAACTTCGGGACACTGGAGTGTCTCCACTTGGATACACGAAGAATTATAATATGCAAAAGACAGTAATTTTAAAACATGCCGTATTCAGAGCCATCTGAACCTTCAGTAAGCAACCACACACCTGGTCATCATACTGTGTGTGGTTGACATTACCAACCAGTAGATGCTGTGAATAATGTAATAGTAATGATAAGTAATAATATGCCTTTATTAATATGGCGAGGCTCGGGCCATCAGGCCCGCTCTTCCGCCTGCACATGTCACAAATATACAGATTAATGTATTAAATATAAAATTACCAAAAGTAATGTTATTTAAAATTTAAATTTAATGTAATCTACAAGTTGTAAGTAGTTAGTGGAAAGGAAAATGTTTTTTAAAGCAACTTATAAAATAGAGAACATCGAGATTAAAGGGAATAAAATATTACAATAATAATTTGAATAATTTTAAAATCATGTCTGAAATTAAAAACCACAATTTGAATTAAATGAGATTTGTGGCTTTAAAATCATCGCGCGCTACGTGCAGCCTGGTATTCACCCCGAGCGACTGTGATCTATTAATACAGAAAGACACCATCACACGTCGCTCGATCCTCGAGGAAAACCCGCTATCGGGAAAAAACCCACCAGGCAGACTGTGTCCTAATACATGGAACTGGCTAACATGAAGTAAACGGGTCATTGGGATGTATCCTCAGCTGCCGTCCATGCTGCAAAGTGGTTTTTCTTGTTTAAAACCGCCTCTGCTCCTCGGATGAAAGTACAGTTCCGGCAGTATCAAACAGGTCGCAAGAAAGTTAACATATTTTTACAAAGAACACATTAATTTATTTCTAAAACACATTAATCTTAACACTCCTAAGGAATGTTTTTATTTGACCCGTATCTACAAAATGGTTATTTTACTTGTAAAAGATCATGCAGTGCTTCTTAAAGATGTGAATGAAGAGGAGTTTTAATATTGGAGGCAATTATATTCCACTCGCGGGCGTACAGTAATTGCGAACGATTTATTGTAGTAAGCATGGTTTTGCTTTTTTGGAATGAGAGTAACTGGGAATTCTGAAATCTAGATGATTTCAAATGTACAAAACCAGTTTGTTTAAGTAGTCGGGGAACCCATTTTTAGCATCTTAATAAAAGACCAAAGCTTGATACAATCGCCTATCTTTAGTTTAATATTTTGTGCTGCTATTTGTAAACTCCAAGATGTGATCGTATATTTTTTATTTCATAAATGAAACGAATACAGGAATTTGAGGGCCTCTGTAGAGTTTGAGCGACGTGAATCTTTAAATTGTTATACACAATATCCCCGTAGTCGAAATAGGACCAGAAACAGGGTTTTTACCCAACATTTCTTCGTATTTATAGGAGA